TTACAAGAAAACATCCCATTATGATGTCATGATAAAAGTCATTACTATGAAATATATACATTTTGAAATAACCCCAAATTAGCATAGTGTACTTAAAAAAAATATCTTCAAGTTGTTGAATGAACGGAGGAAAAATAAATGTGACAGGAAACCAAAACTTTTAGTCATACAAAATTGATTTATGCTGGAAGAACAATTCAGTGCAGCAAATGACATATAAATGAGCACGGATCAAAACAGAAGGAAAATAATAATTAATCACAGAAATCAAAATTCCAACAAATATTAATGATTCACGGACATCAAAAATACACAAATAGGTTTCAAAAATATAATTACAGTCTGAGAAATTAAGACATATTAATGACAAAAGACAAAAAATCAACATCGTAATAATCATGACAGTTTTCAGTCATATTTTATACTCTAACAAATTAATAACTGATGTGTTTTGGCTGTGGATTACAGTGATTTTTCCCATCATTGCTATTCATTTGCTCAAATCAGACATGCACAAAAACAGCCAGAGGTTATTAGTGTGAAAAACTAAACATCATTCAGATCATGACTTTCACCCCAACTAAAAGACGAAAGCAGGTTAATAATATAATGACCAGCATTAATCAAACATTCACATAATTCAACATTCAGCACTTTTCATTTGTTTGAAACTGAAACTCAACACCGACTCTGAAATACAAATATGCTACTTAATTTAATAACATAATAATGCACCTTTGTGAGTCATATATTGTGGATTTATTATTTATAAATGAGATTTATTTCACTTTTTTAATGCATTTTTTAAATCATCATGAACACATAATGATAATTACACAATTCCTATTACTGATTATTAATAAAATACCATGTTGTTTAGGAATAATACATAAATAATGGTATTTTAATAAGAATCATATATAAGAATTTGAAAAAAAAATAAAAGCAATGTTTAATTTTCATTTCAAATGACAGAAAAAGCTCATTAAACCATTAAATAATCATGTGAAATGTATTGGCAGAGAAAACATTAATAAACAAAACTTTCACAGCATTTTCAGATCATTATTTTAACTATTTTCAGATCATTATTAGCTCAAAATCTCCATAAATGTACTCATTTTTGTTTTATTGTTAACCAGCATTTGTACGAATATTAATAAATGCTGTAAAAATAACATTTAAATAACAAATGAGACTCAAGTGAAAAATAAGAAAATTATGAAGGAAATTCCAGTTCATTTCACAAACAGACTGAAAACATAAAATATAAAATAAAATAAATTAAAATAAGTCCAGGCTTGTTTTCACTAAATATCTGAAGGATTAAAGCAGATCATCACTTTCAGATTTAGCAGAAAATATTAACCATAAAGAAGATTTCGGTCTTAAATGTAGGAGTTAAACGTAAGAGTATTTTATCAAGCGTTTATTACTTTTGATTTGTTATTATTGTATTACTGTAAGTGATTTAGTGCTAAACTACCTGCAATATCAGTGAAATATTAGCATTAATGAACAAGCTCAAGCATCAATCTGCTTTAAAGAAAGCATTTTAATTAATCTCAGAGTTATTCATGGTCAAAAATAAGCATTTAAGTGTGTCTTTGGTCACTTTCCAATAAGGTTTCATGAGTGAATGTTTGCTAATGCATTTAATAACATTAATAATAATTATATGTTAATGATAAAGCATTTATTAATCATAGATTAACATTTATACATTATCAAAACCTAAAGTCATGCTTATTAATAAGAAGTTAACAAAGATGAATAAACACATAATTGTAATTTTCATTGTTCATGTTTGTAAAAAAAGTAACTGATACAACCTAATTGTAAAGCGTGACCATATTTAAAAAAAATAAATAAATTAACCAATTATTTTAAATATATATTTACATAAATATATGTTCTGCAAATACAAATTTGATCATTTTTACATATATTTTTTTAAAT